CTATTGGAACTTACTGAAGCAAGTATCTGTTAAACGCCATATCCATTCCACCAGTTTATTTATGTACTAACGTTTTCTTTTCAACTTTCGTGCTACTTTAGCCCTTTCCATGTAGATTGTCATGTAAATTGTTCGCTCTTCTGTCTCTTCTTTGTACTTGGATTATATCTTTTAAGATTTGTTGCAAAATATGCAATGAAATAACTATTCTCAATGTCTCTCTTTCTCTTTTTCCCATAACCAAGACAAAGATAACTAGCATAGATTGTGGATTTCTCCTCTGTTGCTGACAGAAGAACCTTTTGAACTAGGTTTTGCACATGGATAGGAATGACTATTATGGAGGAGAGTCAACATCACTTAATCTCATTCAGGTCTGCTTTCCTCGTGCGTTCCCTGCAATTTGCTGCATTGTTGCATTATCTTTAATGGGTGGTTTGAATAGTTCCTATTGGTGACTTGCAGCTCTGGAAGAAATTTAGGAATAGTGACAAACCTCCTGCACATTTGGGTTCTAGCAGGGATTATAATGTTGACATGGTCCCAAAGGTATAATTCTAGACTTTGTTAATCGGCCTACAATTTAGGCTTTCGCAGATTGTTTATATTCTCCTTATCTGTTCTTTTCTGACTAGTGCTGCTGTGTAGTTTATGATGGCAAATGGTACTCTGGTGCGAGTCCTCATTCATACAGATATTACGAAGTATCTGTCCTTCAAAGCTGTGGATGGCAGCTATGTCTTCAATAAGGGAACGGTATGGAGAAGAAAACTATATTGAAACATTTGCATAATCATTGCAGGTCTGCCTGGTTTTCCTTTCTTATTCAACAATATGGTAATGTCAATGACAGGTTCACAAAGTGCCTGCTACTGGTGTGGAAGCACTTAAAACTCCACTCATGGGCATGTTTGAGAAGCTTCGAGCTCGAAAGTTCTTTATATACGTTCATGATTATGATGAAAATGATCCAAGGACACACGAGGGGATGGATCTGACACGTGTAACAACGAGAAAACTGATAGCGTATGTTTAAATGCTTTTCCTGGGTTGACATGTCATTTCAATCTCTGTATACAATATTAATGCTGCACTGCAATTGCAAAGTGTTTTGCCTAGAAGTTTCCATTCTCACAACTGATCAAATGATAGATAAGTTTGCTAGATGTTTACTGTCTTATACCACTTTATGTGCTGCTTGTAGCAGGAAGTGGTCCTCTGCATTCCTATTTTGGATAGTGGATTGTAAATGATATTACTTATCAAAAAGAATAAAAGTCTAAAACAAAGTTGGAGAGTCTTTACGGTGCTCTTACTCAATTAACTCTTTCATTCATGATTTTGTTCCAGCTATCATAATGAGTAGAATGATATTAGCTGGTGGTGCTGTGAACCCTTGGTCAATTTGCTTCTGCATGTTTTTTGAACAGAAAATATGGTCTGGGTGACAACACCATTGATTTTATTGGTCATGCCATGGCGCTCCATAGAGATGATCGATACCTAAATGAGCCTGCCCTGGATACTGTCAAGAGAATGAAGGTGAATGATCCTGTTTCCCAGAACAAACATCTTTGTTATGCTCGTAAAGAGAAATGTTTCCCGTTTTGTTTGGAGATCTTTGAATTGACATTCCTATTCTCTCTGCCGGCCACTTGATAGCTCTATGGAGAGTCATTTGCTCGTTTTCAAGGAGGATCTCCCTATATTTACCCCTTGTATGGGTTAGGAGAGCTCCCTCAGGTACATCTAGCGTCACAGATGCACATGTCCAAGCCGCTGCTGCAGTTTCGATGTACTGGATCAAATCCGTTACTGATGCCTGACCATTTGCTTTGGATTATGTTTAACTTTTTTTCCTTTGTAATCCAGGCATTTGCACGGCTTAGTGCTGTATATGGTGGGACTTACATGTTAAACAAACGGGAATGCAAGGTAATCGGGTCATTTGGTTCTCATTTTTATTTGGAATAGTAAATATATGCTTATTCTCTGCTAATGTCATGAAAATGGTGTTTATTTGTTAAATTTCAACTTAAATCTGCTGCTTATAGGAAAAAAAAAGTTGTTTTATTTTGCTTTTATTGCAGGTGGAGTTCAACGATGAAGGCCAAGTCATTGGTGTCACATCAGAGGGCGAAACTGCCAAATGCAAAAAAGTTGTTTGCGACCCTTCCTACTTGCCTAACAAGGTAATGAATATGATACTGCATCTTGATCATGGCAGTATGTTAGCAAACTTATGTCGGAGTTCAGTTTGTTTGATGTAAGTGGTACTAGCTCATGTAGTATAGCAAGTCTATTGATTCCGTAAGATTGGTTAGTGATCTTTCCTGAGACTATTATAGATTAAAAATTTTGTGGAGTTGGTTGAATAGGTGCATAGAGGTTCTATCAATCAGATTCTTTGCATGTAGATCTTGTGTGTGTGTGTGATGCACAACCCCTTGATACCGAAGAAAAGATCAGTGTTGCTGCATGCATCGGTGCCTATGGTGGTTGAAATAAGATTAATTTTGCCACTAAGATATGACTACTTTCTCAGGCCTAAAGGCCCTAAACCTCGCAAGATGTTTTACACCTCAGCCTTTCGGTTGTTTTCTTTTGCTTTTTTTAAAAAAAAAAGTAACAACCAGTAACAAGCCCTGATAACCATGAAGGCGCATGACATGCAGATACCTTTTTTCTTTTGCAACAACAGTGGAAGTCGTAGTCAGTGGGAATTTATAATATTGTGCAGGTTAGGAAAATTGGGAAAGTTGCCAGGGCAATCTGTATCATGAGCCATCCGATCCCAAATACCAATGATTCTCACTCAGTGCAGGTTATTATGCCCCAGAAACAGTTGGGCCGCAAGTCAGATATGTAAGTCCTTGAGTACACTAATTTGAGATTACTAGCTATATTTTCTTATACTATTTGATGCGAAAGTTTGTTCGAGAAATGAAGGGGGAAAAAGCAAATCTAAATGTTAATTGTCCAAAGAGAAATAGCTTCTCACTTATCATTTAACTGCATTTGTTGTACTTGAGGTGGGAAAGGAGATGAATGAAAGTGTAATAAGTTAAGTTTCAGTCCCATGAGATCAATGATATTTTAAATAACTTTACGTAAACTATCATTTTAAGTCAGGATCAGAATCTACTTGAGCCACATTTCACTTCTAAATACCATTTGATACTTGCATTTTAGATCTTGAATTTCACAGATGGTTCCATGCGCCTGCTTGATAGTTTGGCCTTGGATTACCGATGGTTAATAAAATACATTTTCACGGCCTTCCAATAATCTAAGCATTGTTCCTTGGTTTCGACTCTTTGTTCAACTATGCCCATGTTTGAGCAGGTATCTTTTCTGTTGTTCATACACTCACAAAGTCGCACCAAAGGGCAAGTTCATTGCATTTGTCTCGGCTGAGGCTGAAACTGATCGACCTCAGACAGAACTGAAGCCAGGGGTTGATCTGCTGGGGCCTGTTGATGAGATATTTTATGACACTTACGACAGATATGAACCAATCAATGAGCCTTCTCTTGACAACTGCTTCATATCAACTGTGAGTTTTGTTCTTCTCACTCACTCTCTCTCTCTCTCTCTCTCTTTCTGATGTATATTTGGAGTTCGGGAGCTTTTAATTGTATTGATATTATGTTAATCTCTTCTCTCGCTGTACCTGCAGAGCTATGATGCCACAACCCACTTCGAGTCGACTGTTATGGATGTGCTTAACATGTATACGAAGATCACCGGAAAGGTAAGAATTACTTCTTGGAAATGTCTTGCTATCAACCACGATCTTGTTGATGAATTCTTTGTTGGCGTGGCGAGCATGAGAAAATCTTTGACAAGTTTTCATGTGGGTTGGAAGTTTTTGAGGACTCTTTGGAAGCTGTCAATTTTAGAACTGCTCGGGTCCACCCTTCTCATTAATTATACCTGATGATTATGCATCTTTGACTGTTTCCGTGAACTCAGCCTCTTGGTTATGATCTAATGGTTTTCTTGACGAGGTAATCATGCATTTGGACTAGTTATTTTCCCCGTTTTTCTTGTGTCCAATTAGTGCAATAGAGGTGATCGGTGTGGTTAGAAGTGTGCTGGCTATTTGCTATGCAGTACAAGTTCTCAACTTTCTCACCGACTTCCTAGAGCCGTGAAACCTGCCCAAAATTTCCACCTACTGCACATCTTGTCTTTTCCCTCTGCTAATCAAGCCTATAGTCCCCTTCAATCAACAATCAAAGATGTCCTGAAAATGGAAAATAGTAGTCAAGGTTATGCATAATTGAGACACGTAACATCTTGAATAGGACAGGAAATACCAAATAAATGTAGCGCATCGGTTAGTCGATGTAATTGTTAAATTCTTCGGCAGAAGTTAACAGGCAAAAAGTACGACAAACGGCTTATGTTGCTTTGACATGATTGAAGATCATAAAGAAATTATTTTTCAACTCTAACATTTTCCATAGCAGCAAATCAAGCTTCCTTGCTAAGACATTGAAAGAGAGAGAGAGAGAGAGAGAGAGAGATGCTGAAAAATCTACATTCTTCTGAGCAGGTTCTCGACCTCAGTGTGGATTTAAGCGCCGCCAGCGCTGCAGAGGAATGAGAAAAGAGAGGGTCAGTGCATGCATTTCTTGTACCTGGTTTGGAGCTCTCAGGCATCAGTTTTTATTGTCGACGAATCTCTCGAACAAGTTTCTGGTTATTCTATGTACTATCAACCGTGATAATACATGTAAGAATTTACATGCAAAATGTGCAATGCTTATTTGAAATGCTAGTGGTTGGTGTCTGCTTGATAGTCTCCTCCGGAGACGAAACGGTCCATGGAGACATTACTGAAATATTACGCGATCAATGCGACTGGATTGATCACACCCTTGTTCCAACTCAAACAACATGGACTTTCTGGAGACATGGATGACCCCGCTGAAGAAGCCATCTACGTCTCGTTCTCATTATTCCATGCACCATGCTAATGGGAGCCGAGTGCACGGGCGCTGATTGATTTGATGAGACTCCGTTGTGACTTGTATGATCAGATTAGCTCACATGAACCTAGCGCACGCGCAGAGAGGCGGCCATTGAAGCTCGGACGAAGCAAAGGCAATTGGTAACAATCGTCCTCATGCTCGCTGTCGTTGCTTCGAGAGAGACCCTCTGATCTCTAGCTTTTGCTGACTTTTTCGTTTTGCTTCTTCAATGCGGAGCGAGGATTGAGGCTCACGAGCCGCGACAGACGTCGAAGGCGGAACTGCTGAGCCAGCTGAAGGGACATCAAGGCCGAGCTCGCTCTCCTTCACGCCGCCCGAGGTCACCGGAGGTGCGACGAACCAAGCTCTCCAACATGTAAGTCTAGGCCTACGTCACGTATCTATGTGCATTCGCGTGGTTCTATGGCTTTGTTCGAGAATGTGATTGCATTAGTGAAATGGTAAGTAGTTTGAGCTAATTTTGGAGGTATCTTTGGTTCGGTAACGAGTAGGCGGTTTTGAGTTCAAAAGAGAAATATATGGATGAAGTATTCATCGACTCTGTTAACTATAGTATTGCCACCTCCTATACTAATTTTTGGCTATCTTTCAATCTTATACGTTCTTTTTATTTATCCATACGGATCCGTACCTCCAACAATCTTCCACTTTCTTCATGCATCTCCCACTAATATCTTTTCGTTTCAATTAAGTCCATCGTACTAGTTATCCATAATTCCTTTACTTTCGAAATTCGTTTGATAAACGACATCGCACATTAGGACTAATATTAATGAATCTGAGTAAAAATCGTTCTTACGAAAAATTAATCACATCATCCTAGCGTTTTCACGGCCAAACCCATTTTGAAATTGATTGCGTCGCTTGTGAATTACACGTTGTTGATCGGAAATTATATTTTCGAATATGTAAGTGCTGTTTTTTTTCTTTTTTGTGCCGGAGAAACAGATTGTGAATTTCTCTTTTGTCGATAAAAACAGAAATTTCATTAACTCAAAGAAAATCCGTTCACATCGGACTAGGGTTTATTTCCACCGACTCATCTTGCATTTTCCAGCTCTCAGTTCTTGGTTAGTTGGGCTCTTAAGAAGCCTGAAATTGGGGAAAAGCCCATTGGGAATAGTGAAATCACGAGTTCCATTCTTGGGCCATAAATCAAAGTGAATTAAGCCATAGTTTTAATTTAGGGTAATATCGCCAAAATCCGGTACATCCGTATCATATTTATTCACAATTTATTTTTCGTGTCATCCCAAACTGGTACACTCCGTGACAAATCTATCCTCCATTAGCTTCCGTCGAATATTTGGTGAAATTGTTAAAAACAATTCGGATGTGATGTAGCTTAGATATGGAAATTCCATATAAATAAACGGCATCGTTTTTTTTTTTAAGAAGTTAGATATGAAGAAAATGAGCCGAGATTGGAAAATATGCTAATTTTTCCCCAAGAGTTCCTCATCTATTGAAAATTTGCCAAAATCCCTAATTTTGCCTTAATTTTTCTCTAAACAGCTTCCTCACATTTTGAAAATTTGCTGAAATCCCTAACTTTTTTCCCAAATTCTGTCCTAAGATTTTAATAGATTTGTCACGAAACGTAACACTTTGGTATTTTTTTTATATATTATTAACCCTTTCAATTAAACCTTATTGTTACCCAAGTCGTGTAAGCTGTGCAAATCCCATGAAGAGATAGTAGAGACCATCTACTCACACATGCGTGATTTATACTTTTGTCATGGCTAGGATCCAAACTTTGTATGAACATTTTGGCATGGAAAGGAACTGTCAAGAAAGCCAAATCTTTTAACTATGTTGGGGAAGGGAGAGTGAAGCAAGAACCACACGATTTCGATTAAGTGTTGTCGTTAAGACGACGATCTCATGCGTGATTTATACTTTTGTCACACATGCGTGATTTATACTTTTGTCATGGCTAGGATCCAAACTTTGTATGAACATTTTGGCATGGAAAGGAACTGTCAAGAAAGCCAAATCTTTTAACTATGTTGGGGAAGGGAGAGTGAAGCAAGAACCACACGATTTCGATTAAGTGTTGTCGTTAAGACGGCGATCTCATGTCGAACGATTGAAACATACACAATTGTTAATCGAGACAAGTTCCATATTAAGAGATGATAGTGATTCTTCGACTGGAGATACCGCAGGAGAGGCTTAATGGTAGAATTCGGACCATAAGTTTTAGGACCCGTTTATACCGTGCACAAGAATTTCGTACTTCTCCCGATTTTTTCTTTTACAATGTCTTAAGAAAAATCAAGATTAACTTGAAATTATTCGAGTGGCAACGTAGCTTAAATTGCGCATCGCTCGTCCCCCGGGGTAAATTCTTCTCTTACTCATGATTTTACAGCGGACCGGATGAATCACGCCCATCGATGAGTGCCCGACTCTATCGAAACGGCTTGTATTACTAGGTCCACGAAGCATCGACTTGAGCAAGACCTTTTCATCCATGCCGCGACATCTTAAAAAGAAAAAGAAAGAAGAAGGAGGAGAGAAAATAAAAAAAATAGGAAATAAATAAAATAAAAGGGAGCAGGAAGCGGCAGCAATCAACAAAGCTTATTATAATAAAAAAAAACAAACAAAAAAATTTTCGCGGATTTAATTCCAGACAGCACGCCATCACCATATTCCAACTCCTCCTCCTCCTCCTTCTCCGGCCTCCCTCTCTCTCTCTCAGATCTCTCTCTCGCCGCCGCCGCCGCTCTTCGGCCGCGACCTTCTCTTGATCTGCTTCGCCCCGATCGCCGGCGGCGACCATGGACGAGGAGTACGACGTCATCGTGCTGGGGACCGGCCTCAAGGAGTGCATCCTCAGCGGCCTCCTCTCCGTCGACGGCCTCAAGGTCCTTCTCCCTCCCTCCTTCCTTCCTTCCTTCCTTCCTTTCATTTCCTCGCTCGATTGGTCGGTTCGATTCGATCTCGCGTCCTCCGATGCGTGAATCCCGTAGCTTGTGTCGTTCGATTCGTGGAAGTTTTCTTCTTCTTCTTCTTCTTTTCTTTTGGGGGGGTTTACGCTGCGAGTGAGGATCCACGCGCTGACTTCAGTTTTTGAGTTGGTGTTCGATTGGGATTGGAGAGTGGGTCGGTTGATTACGTTTCGAATTGGGAGCGGTGGGAATCGGTGCTGAGGAGATCGCGATTGGGACTTGGGAGCGTCGTTTTCACGTGATCAAGTGCCTTTTGGTTTTTGGTTACTGGCTTGTTGTCGTAGGTTCTATTTGTATCGGGACGGATCAGCGAGACTTTTGAATTTAGGGCCCGTGGCTTTGCCAGCCGATTTACGTGAGAATGGCAGCACGAATTCGAGCGGCGATGATCTGAGAATCCGGTCCGCGGTCAATTCGAGGTTTAGATGTAAGCTGCTGATGAGCTCGAGTGAAATCGTGGATTCTCGTCGTGTCATATGGGGATTGGTAGACACTGGACGTGGACGCCTCTAGTTTTCGCAATTTTTGATCGCAAATCCAAGTGGCGACTTCATTGTAATGGAATTGGGTCGGTCTCGAGCAAATCGAGTACATGTGAAGTCGTTTTTTGAGCGTAAACTAAATTGATTGAACGGTCTAAGTGAAGTACTTGATCTCAAGCTTTGAGGGCAGTGAAGGTGGAGTAGTACATTGGCTTGGCTGATTGACTTGTCGCCATGCCTTATATGGAGACGGAAGCACTTCTCTTTTCATCTCGTTGGATAGAGAGGAGGATTGACGGAAAGCTCCTTGAAACTTGGACCGCTGCGGCAGATAGTCTTTCGAATCAAGGAGATCGCCCCTTCAACATTTGGCCGCTTCCGTGAGATTCATGGCGAAAATTATGGGTAGCTGCCCCCAAAAGTTGCTCTACCATGGCATAAACCAATCCCTAGAGACTCGATAAGTGTGTCGTGGCTATACCTATCGGACTCTTTGGTCTCTAAGTTGAGTCCGATATATGATCCCATGAATCCAGTAAGATATTGATTCCTGCGATAAGAATACCTCTGTATGCCAGAGCTCTGGCCTTAGCTAATAGGACAGCGGAATACTTTGGTGGGTTGCCTACTTTTAATGGATCCACACCCTTCTACCATACTGGTGTCGGCAAGTGGACTACATCTGGCATCCCTCGCTTCACTCTGCTTTTACAGCTGGCCGAAAAACTTTTCGTGGAAAATTACATTAATGGATGTGCTGAAAGTCATTCAAGGCTAGACTGGAGCTAGCTGTGTTTGCTCCCTTGTAACATTATTAAGACTAAATGTTACCGAATGCAATAGGAACTTACCGAAGCAAGTATTTGTTGAATATCATATCCATTCCACTGGTTTATTTATGTAGCTAACGTTTTCTTTTTTAACTTTCATGCTACTTTAGCCCTTTCATATAGCTTGTCATGTAAATTATTCACTCTTCTGTATCTTCTTTGTAATTATCTTAGGGCACGTGGATTTTCTATTTTGAGATATGTTGCAAAATATGCAATGAAATAACTATTCTCAGTTTCTCTCCTTATACTCTTTTTCCCATAACCAAAACAATGGTAATTAGCATAGATTGTGGATTCCTGTTCTGTTGCTGATGAAAGAAACTTTTGAACCAGGTTTTGCACATGGATAGGAATGACTATTATGGAGCAGAGTCAACATCACTTAATCTCATTCAGGTCTGATTTCTTCAAGCGTTCATGGCAATTTTCTGCATTGTTGCCTTATCTTTAATAGGTGGTTTGAATAGTTTCTTTTGACGACTTTGTGAATTGCAGCTCTGGAAGAAATTTAGGAATAGTGACAAACCTCCTGCACATTTGGGTTCTAGCAGGGATTATAATGTTGACATGGTCCCAAAGGTATAATTCTCACACTTTGTTAATCGGCCTACAATTTAAGCTGTGGCAGATCGTTTATATTCTCGTTATTTATTTGTTGCTGACTATTGCTTCTGTGTAGTTTATGATGGCAAATGGTGGTCTGGTGCGAGTCCTCATTCATACAGATGTTACCAAGTATCTGTACTTCAAAGCTGTGGATGGCAGCTATGTCTTCAATAAGGGAAAGGTATACTGGAACATACATGTGCAGAATCATTGCACTTCTGCCTGGTTTTCCTCTCTCATTTAACAATATGGTAATGCCAATGGCAGGTTCACAAAGTGCCTGCTACTGACATGGAAGCACTTAAATCTCCACTCATGGGCATGTTTGAGAAGCGTCGAGCTCGAAAGTTCTTTATATACGTTCAAGATTACAATGAAAATGATCCAAAGACACATGAGGGGATGGATTTGACACGTGTAACAACGAGAGAATTGATAGCGTATGTTTTTAAATATTTTCTTGGGTTGCCATGTCATTGCAACCTCTTAAAAGAGAAATTAATGCTGCACTGCAATTGCAAAGTGTTTCGCCTAGAAGTTCCCATTCTGACGACTGATCAAATGATAACTGAATTTTCTAGATGTTTACTGTCTTATACCACTTTATGTGCTGCTTGTAGCGGGAAGTGGTTGTCTGCATTTCTGTTTTGGATATTGGATTGTAAATGATATTACTTATAAAGAAGAAGAAAAGTCTAGAACAAAGTCGCAGAGTCCTTACGGTGCTCTTACTCAAATATTTCTTTCATTTTCCCTTCTTCTGCATGAATTGTTCCGGCTATTATAATGAGTAGAAGGATACTAGCTGGTTGAACTATGGAATCCTTGGTCATCATGCCTCTGTTGATGTTTGAACAGAAAATATGGTCTGGATGACAACACCATGGATTTTATTGGCCATGCCTTGGCACTCCATAGAGATGACCGGTTCCTAGATGAGCCTGCCCTGGATACTGTCAAGCGAATGAAGGTGAATGATCCTGTCCCAGAACAAACATTTTTCTTATGCTTGAAAGAAAAATGTTTCCCATTTTGCTCTGAATTGACATTCCTCTTCTCTTGATAGCTCTATGCAGAGTCACTTGCTCGTTTTCAAGGAGGATCTCCCTATATTTACCCATTGTATGGGTTGGGGGAGCTCCCTCAGGTACATCTAGCATCACAGATGCATGCCCAATCAGCTGCTCTAGATACAGTGGCTCAAATCCGTTACTGATGCCTGACCATTTACTTTAGGTTCTGCTTAACTTTTTTTCTTTGTTATCCAGGCATTTGCACGGCTTAGTGCTGTATATGGTGGGACTTACATGTTGAACAAACCGGAATGCAAGGTAATCATGTCATTTGGTTCTCATTTATATTTGGACTAATAATTATATACTTAGTTTCTGACAATATCATGAAGTGGTGTTTTATTTATTTATTTTTTTTTTAAATTTCAAGTTAAAACTGCTACTAATAGAAAGAAAAAAATGTTGTTTTATGTTGCTGTTATTGCAGGTGGAGTATAACGATGAAGGCCAAGTCATTGGTGTCACATCAGAGGGTGAAACTGCTAAATGCAAAAAAGTTGTTTGTGACCCTTCCTACTTGCCTAACAAGGTAATGAATATGATACTGCATCATGATCATCGCAGTATGTTAGCGAACTTATGTTGGAGTCCAGTTTGTTTGATACAAGTGGTATGAGCTCATGTGGTATACTTATAATATTGATTCCGAAGATGGGATAGTAATCTTTCACGAGACTATTGTGGCTTAAATTGGTTTAAAAATTTTGTGGAGCTTGGTTGAATAGGTGCATATTGGTTCTATCTGTCAGATTCTTTGCATGTAGATCTTGTGTGCCTGCTGCACCCCTGTGATACTAAGAAAAAGATAATTGTTGCTGCAGCAGTGCCTATGGTTATTGAATATAAGATTTATTTTGCCACTAACATATGACTACTTTCTCCGCCCTGAAGGCCTTAAACCTCGCAATTACACCCCACCCACTCGGTCCTTTTCGTTTTAAACAAAATAAGAACGAGTAACAAGCCCCGATGACCAGGAAGGCGCATAAAATGCAGATACACCTTTTCTCTTTTTAATTGTGCAACGACATTGGACATCACACTCATTGGGAATATTTAAACTTCTGCAGGTTAGGAAAATTGGGAAGGTCGCCAGGGCAATCTGTATCATGAGCCATCCGATCCCAAACACCAATGATTCTCACTCAGTGCAGGTTATTATCCCACAGAAACAGTTGGGTCGCAAGTCGGATATGTAAGTCCTTGTGTACACTAATTGGTGATTATTAGCTACAGCTTCTTATTATATTTGATGTCAGAGTCTGTTCGCGAAATGAATGAGGAAAAAGCAAAATGTTTATTGTCCGAAGAGAAATAGCTTCTCACTTATCTATTTAACTGCATTTATTGTATTTGAGGTGGGAAAGGAGATGAATGTAAGTGTAACAAGTTAAGTATCTTTCCCATGAGATTAGTGATATTTTATTAAGTTTACTAATCAATCATTTTAAGTCACGATTAGAACTGCTTGAGCCACATTTCACTTCTAAATAGCATTTGATACCTGCATTTTGGATCTTGAATTTCACAGATGGTTCCATGCGCCTGCTTAATAGGTTGGCCTTGGATTACCGATGGTTTAAATCCATTTCATGTCCTGATAATCTAAGCATTGTTCCTTGATTTCGACTCATTATTCAACTATGCGTATGTTTGAGCAGGTATCTTTTCTGTTGTTCATACTCTCATAATGTCGCACCAAAGGGCAAATTCATTGCATTTGTTTCGGCAGAGGCTGAAACTGATCAACCTGACATAGAATTGAAGCCAGGGGTTGATCTGCTGGGACCCGTTGATGAGATCTTTTATGACACTTATGATAGATATGAACCAGTCAATGAACCTTCTCTTGACAACTGCTTCATATCAACTGTGAGTTTTGTTCCCCGCGGCCCCCCCCCCCCCCTCCGTTCTCTCTCTCTCTCTCTCTATGTGATATTAAATATGGAGTTCAGGAGCTTTCAATTATATTGATGTTATGTTAATATCTTGCTATACCTGCAGAGTTATGATGCCACAACCCACTTTGAGTCGACTGTTGTGGATGTGCTTAACATGTATGCCATGATCACCGGAAAGGTAAGAATTACTTCTCGGAAATGTCTTCTGCTATTAACTATGATATTGATGATGAATTCTTCGTTGGCGTGGCGAGCATGAGATATTCTGTGACAAGTTTTCCTGTGCGTTTGGAAGTGTTTGAGGAGACTTTGGAAGCTATTAATACTAGAATTGCTGGTGTTCTACCCTTCTCATTAATTATACCTGATGATTATGCATCTATCTGTTTCCTAAGTAAACTCAGCCTTTAAGTCATTATTTGAATGTTTGACTAGTTAAATGATAGAGCCATGCCATGTCCTCCCATTCTTCTCATGTCCAATCAGTGCATTGGAGGTGATCGGTTTGGTTAGAAGGGTGTTGGCTATTTACAATGCAGTATCAGTTCTCAACTTTTAGACCTACTTCCTAGCCCCATGAAACCTGCCCAAAAGTTCCACCTACTGCACAATCTCTCTTTTCCTTCTGCTAATCAAGCCTACATTCCCCTTCAATTAACGACCAAAGTGGTCCTTAAAATGTTAAAAAAAGAAGAAGAAAAGCTTATTCATTATTGAGATGTGTAACAGTTTGAACAGGACAGAAAATACCAAATAAATATAAGGTGCATCAGTTAGTCAAAGTAGTTGTTAATTCATTGGCAGAGTCAGAAGGAAAAAGTTTGAAAATCGACTGACATTACTTTGAAATGATTGAAGATCGGAAAGATACTTTTTTTCGACTCTCCATAGCAGCAATTCAAGCTTCTTTGATAGGACATTGAAGGGTAAGAGGGGGAGATGCTGACCAAATTACATTCTTCTGGGCAGGTTCTCGACCTCAGCGTGGATTTAAGCGCTGCCAGTGCTGCGGAGGAATGAGTAAAAAGAGAGGTTCGGCGTATGAATTGCTAGTGCCTGGTTTGGATCTCTTAGACATCAGTTTTTAATGTCGACGAACCTCTGGAACATGAATTTCTGGTTACTCTATGTATTACCAACTGTGATCAAGTCGTGTTTGAATTTTTTTTACCTGAGGAATTTACACTCAAAACGTGGATTGTTAATTTAAAAATGCTAGTCGTAAGTGTCGGCTCGACATTCTCCTCCGGAGATGAAACGGTCCTTGGAGACACTACCGAAATATTACGGGGTGAATGTGACTGGATGGATCACACCCTTCCCAACTCAAACGGTGCGGACTTTCTGTAGGCACGGATGACAGCTGAAGAAGCCGTGTGTGTAGGTCTCATTCTCATTATGCCATGCACCAAGCTAATGCGAGCCAAGTATATCGGCGCCGTTTGATTTGATGAGATTCACGTGGGACTTGTATGGTCCGATGGTTCACATGAACCTAGTGCACATGCGAATGCCAAGTCGGGTGAAAAGAACCTGTACCTATCAAGATGAAGGAGTAATGCACAAGAGACATGCCTGCATGATTGTTACATGGAAACTGATTTGAGAAGATGATTCATAAAACTACGTAGGCACATTTAAGCACCCAATAAGCACCCACTGAATTTTAGTTTAAGACAGCTTAAATTGCTGTTCTCTGCATTTTTTCGTCGGTGCCGGTTCCCATACCGATCCTTGCCCATTTCTTTTGCTTCAGTGTCTTCTGGCCCGATTCCTTCTGATCGGCTTGTGCTTGCTCAGCTATCCCATGCGCCTCCACCGAACCCATAGCGCCTCCATTATCAGCTGCTTCTCTTGATGATAATAGAGTGCAGCTGCTTCTCTTGATGTAATAGAGTTCATGTTCTTCAATGGTAACGGTCCTGTGCTCACCCATCTTGATGAACCGAGAAAAGCAAAAAGAGGCATCTTCGTTGGTTCCATATTTTTAGTTCCGACATTACATCAATACGTCGCAGTTGTAACCTGAACATACCCGAGTTTTCAGGACTGTATATAGTGGTAGTGTGCTGTGTTATAACAGCGGAACTGGACGAATGCTCTATCCAGAACACATGAACAGAGTGCTAGGCCTCATGGATTGGTCCTGTATGCAAAACTGGACGAATGCTCTATCCAGAACACATGAACAGAGTGCTAGGCCTCATAGATTGGTCCTGTATGCAAATAAGGATCGAATAGATACAAATAACGCTCGCCCTATAACACGTCTCGCGACAATATAACTAACCTTTCCCATGGTGCAAGAGCCGAAATTGTACTGGAACTGGAGCACGACGGGGAGCATTAGTTCAGCATGCAAGTCCTAAGGCGAAAGCTCTGTTATAGAAAAGTTTATCTCGTGCCAGTTTATACTCACCAATACAAAGAAGAAGTAGGCTAGTTCGAAAGAGTATTGCATAAGAGCAAAATTCATGTTTTTTTCAACCAGATCTCTTGTGGACTCTCAAACGTAGGGAACCGACTTATTCCGGGTGAAGTGCTTACTTTATTCCCATAGAAGCATTTAAAAGAACCGAAAAAACTCCATACATAGCCATGATAATCATCCTAAAAACGTCTCTTGGCAATTGAAATTTGTTCGGTACCGGAGCAATCTACCTTCTACATCAGCTAGTCACACCAAAATTGGCTATGATGTAACTCACGGATTCGATGTCGAGTTAGCAATTACAAGTCCCATTCTTGTCTTATAGATTTATCTAACAATAGTGTAATCATCATTTGAGAAGCTAAAAATCAGCTTGCAGTCTGCTCTGCGCCTCACTGATTCAAGTGTTCCAAGATACAACAGAGATGTCATAAACACATGATGCTTGAAATTTTGCAAACTTAAGAAAGCTTGAGAATCTTTATGGCTACTTCCGATTAATGGCACAAATGATAACCAAAACTACGTATTCGACCCTGCAAGAAGTACCCAAGAACAAGTCAATCGCTGGAATAATTAATTGACTTTGAACAGAACAGGGCTTCATACAAAATACTAGTGATCAAGTCGTTATGGATTCTTCAACTTCCATTGCTGAATCACTGGTGAAGTCTCCAAAGACATAACTTCGCGCATGATGTACATTCAGGTTTTGGAATTGACTCTGCTCGTGAATTGCATCTTCAGATGCTTCTAATAATTGCGAGATTTATTCCGATATATGCGTCTTCAGTGTCTCTAACCAATAATTTGCTAGAATTCCAGCTTGAACACGGTCGGTTTCCGCCGTTTCATTGTTGGCTTCAGGTAACAAAATAGGAAATCAAATTTTTGTTTATATTCACTCAGTGAAATAAAACAATCTTCATCTCCTACCTACAAAAAGAGTAATCTTTTGATAAGGTAAGCAGGGCATCTAAAGAACAGAGGATCCGAGTTGCCACCTATCTTTTCTTTCTGGACAATAACAGACTTACAATCTTCAAGCTTGTACTATTCGTCCTTTCAGATCTCAGCAGCCTCCCACCGCCTCCATTGCTGTATCGAAGAGCGCATGAAGTCAAAGGTATGACATTGGAGTATTTATCCGGGAGAAATTTTGGGAAATTAGGAGGCCGAATCTTGCCAAATTAAGCAACAGTAATGCCGCACCTTTGTTTGTGTACATAGAATTGTGGAAACACAGACAATCACATGGACCACGGCGAGCACAAAGATGAAAATGTGTAGATGATGTAGTGCTGTAAGTGATAACAATGGCACCTATTCCTGAAAAAAGAGATACAAAAGGCCATAGCAATTCAAGATACTGGCACCACCGAAAGTCCTGACTTTATGTACAGAACGTAGTCAAGTCATAAAACCTTTCAATCGGTTCTGTGTCTGTGTAAAAATAGATTTTTTCCAATGCACGAGAGACCATTCGACTGCAATAATCGGTCGCAAGAAACGCTTCAATGAGAAGACCGCGTCATCCTCCGCTGGTTCCACTGGAAGAAGAGTCCGACTTTCTGCAAGGTCCCAATTCTTGTTATAAACACCAGGAGCAGCGATATGGAAACCAAGCAGCATCAAAGCTCCAAGCCACTGCAATACATTCACGCGCAAAACTCTGAAAACTCGATGTATCATTTCGTGCCGCGTAAGTAGGTATGTCATTTTCTTTACTTTTCCTGTCTGCTCTCACCTTCTTTGATCTTTTGCAAGGCATCAAGGAGAGGCTTCTGCTGTTTCTCGTAGTGTCTGCGATATTTGACAAACTACAGAGTGACTTACCATACCATGAACAAGGTCTTTCCCGAGAGAGTACAACACAACGTTGGAGATGTCAAGGAACAAAATGCATTTAGCTGCCTCGCCGGCCCAATGAAGGGACCTTTCACGAGAAAAGAGATCACCCCTTCGATGCAACAAACTACGGCCACCACCCACGTCGGTGCGAACTCTAAAGTTGTCCCCTCGACTCCGTCCTCAGCCATTCTCTCTCTCTCTCTCTCGACAACCCGGTCTGTGCAAACTCCTCGATTCTTAACTGATGATGAAGGTGGATTTCGAGAGAAGATGGAATATAAAGAAGTGGCAAGTTGGCGTCCCCCGTTGACAAAAAGAAAATCTCTATTATTGCCTCAAACTCACGAGCAGGAGTGAGTCATTTGTTTGATCGATATGGTGAAAGGCGAAAGCTTGTTCGTACTTGGTAGATAACATCGTCAGCTCCTTTTTATTCTGCTCTAATCTCCCCACGTCAAGGAATTCCCACTTAAAAGACCCGCTAAAAATACAAACATTCTGGTATAATTTTTGAATTGTGATTGACTTTGTCCACCACATCATTCATAGAGCAAACCTATTCATATCTTTTCCACGCAAACATTGTCGGAGTGGACCTCATGCAACACGCGTGCGTCGTGAATGTATCTTGTCGTTTGGTTTTGGTGTGGCCGAGTCTGAAACGATTGAATCCTACTATGTCGATTGGCCCGGATGTATGTGGATGGATGTCCCTGGTCCATCTAATAGTGTGCCTTAAGAGCTATCTATCTCTCGTTCTTACGTTACTTCTGCAACTTCATGATCCACTTGCCTCTCGTCCTAAATCAGAAATTCTTCCTACACATAGTATTCTGATTTTGCAACTTCATGCACAGTTTTAGTATTGCCATACATGGTATATCAGTTTTATTATTTACCTTTTCCCGATCAATTTGTTTTTTTTTAAAGTCAAGGTATATAATCAAGCAATTACATATTTTGCAACATATAGAAATAATTCCTAATGACCTCTAATTATATTGCATGAACCCATCGTTTTTTTTCTAGGAACGCAAATGTGGAATAGTTGAGTTTAAACTAGTTAATTGAAAAATATAATGGTTTCCAAGTAATGTGAAGGGAAGGGAATAGAGTGTTGTGAAGACTTGGCTCAACCACAAACCTCCATTCTACTCGACTTTCTTTTGCGTTATAGATGGGCCAAACCTTAGAAAACCTATCTACGCAACGGTTTGGTAATCTTAACGAAATTCTGATTCTGATCTACTAAACCTTTTGCGGCGACACCAAGCAAGCCCTAATGGATTCATCCTTGTAAAACCTCAAGAAATTAATATCTTAAGGCAACAAGAGCTGCGGCTAAAGGTAGCCAAATCTTGTGTTTAATAATATTTTTATACATCGCTAATGAAAGGTACATGTGCCTATTTATAAGCTTTAAAGGTTAACTATCTAAAGTAACAAAATAACAAAATATCAATTACATCAAATTAAAATCAAAACAAAATCTCCTAAATATATCTATATCTCTAACACAGGAAAATAATCATGGAGGAAATCTCTGCTGAGTTGTAGCCTTGCTGTCTAACATCCCCTTGCAAGCTGATGTGGCAGGAGTCACAGTAAGCTTGATCTGAAGAAGACGGAACCGAGGAGTGGAAAGGCCTTTAGTGAAGATGTCGGCTGGTTGATCATGAGTGGAGATATACTGAACATGAAGTTGTCCTTTGGCCACACGCGCGCGCACAAAGTGATAGTCAATCTCTACATGTTTAGTGCAAGCATGGAAGATGGGATTGCCAGTAAGATAGATAGCAGAAAGATTATCACATCAAAGGTAAGGAGGAGCGGGCAGATGAACACGAAGATCGTGTAGTAGAGCTTCTATCCAAGTAAGTTCTGCAGTGGTGTCAGCAAGACACTTAAACTTAGCTTTGGTACTAGATCAAGCAACGGTCCGCTGTTTGCGGGAGCTCCACGAAATGAGATTTGAACCCAAGAAGATGCCAAACCCGCCAACAGAGTGACGAATATTTGGAGCACTAGCCCATCCCGCATCGGAAAAAGCATGCAGCTGAAAAGAAGAGCTGGGAGTGAAGAGAATACCATGATGTTGAGTGCCTTTGATGAAATGAAGGATCCTTTTAACAAATTGCCAGTGGATCTCAGTGGGAGAGTGCATGAACTGACAAGCTGTGTTGATAGTATAAGCGATATCCGGGCGAATGAGCGTGAGATACTGTAGAGCCCCTACAATGCTGCGATATAGCGGTGGATAGGAGAAGGGTGCACCAAGATGAGCAGACGGGGCACCAGCCGAAGTGATACATGGCGTGGAAACAAGACGAGCCTCGGTCATTTTGGCCCGCATAAGTAAATCTGCAACATATTTAGCTTGATGGAGAATAATGCCTCAGTCTGTTCGTTCTATTTCAATGCCAAGAAAGTAATGAAGCTCTCCCAGATCTTTAATAGAAAATTCCTGCTATAGAGATTTAATGAGAGTCGACAATGGCGCATTAGGTGACCCAATGACAATAATGTCATCAACATAAACTAGAAGGAAGATACTATGCTGAGCTGTATGAAGAAAGAGTGAGGAATCGGCAATTGAAGGAATGAAGCCCAGCTGAACTAGAAAAGCACTGAGGCGTTGATGCCAGGCTCGAGGAGCCTGTTTGAAACCATAAAGAGATCGCTATAATTTGCAGACATAGCGGCGATGAGCAGAATCAACAAAGCCATGAGGCTGCTCCATGAAAATTTCTTCTGTTAGGTGACCATGAAGAAAGGCGTTCTTCACATCAAGTTGTCGGAGTTGCCACCCACGAGAAAAGGTAACAGAGAGGATAGTGAGAACTGTCACATGCTTGACGACAGGGCTGAAAGTCTCATTGTAGTCGATGCCTTCTTGTTGATGGAATTCCTTTGCAACCAATCGAGCTTTATACTGCTCAATAGAACCATCGGAACGGAGCTTAACCCGGAAGACCCATTTGCAGCCGATGGGTTTACAATTCGGAGGAGGAGACACTAATGTCCAGGTCTGATTTTTGATGAGGGCAGCGTATTCATCCGCCATAGCCGCACGCCAATTTGCATCTTTCACAGCTTGACTAAAGCAAGAAGGTGTGACAAAATCTGAAACAGAGGTGGCCAACGCATAAGTGTGATCAGTGCAAATGTCTCTGCGGGCTAAAGTGCCATCACAAAGGCGTGTCACCATAGGATGTGTTGGCTGAGCTGGTGGATTCGGCGGAGAAGCTGCTGGCAGGATTGGTGAAGCTGCGGACTGAGAGGGAGACTCATTAGCGGGTTCATGCAGTGAGGTTTCGGACACACCTGAACTGTACTGATTCTGCAGCAAGGAACTAGCAGACTACAAATCGCAATTAGAGGGAGAACAGGGCTCACGTGGTGGTTGCTGTGGCAAAGGAGTTCTAGACAACTCAGCAGAAATGAGCGGCTGAATGGTTGCGGCAGCCTCCGAAGATGATTGCGGAGTGTTTTGCGCATAAGGGAGATCTAATTCGTCAAACACTGCATCAGCAACAATGTAGAACCGTCGATGTTGAGGGGAATAACACCGGTATCCTTTGTATCCTGATAGGTAGCCTAAGAAAATGCACCGGTGTGACCTTGGTTGCAGTTTATTCTTCGCATAGGGTCGAAGATTTGTATACACTGTGCAACCAAAAACTCTGAGATGAGCAATAGATGGAACCATTTGAAATAAGATCTCCCATGGTGATTTATTCTGCAGAATCGGTGTGGGCAGCCGATTGATAATGTGTACAGCTGCTTCAAAGGCAAAGTCTCAATAATGATAGGGGACAGAAGCATGATAGAGCATCGCGAGTCCCATTTCAACTATGTGGCGATGTTTGCACTTGGCTGAGCCATTCTGATGGGGTAGGCGTGGACAGGAGGTCCCGTGAAAAATACCTTTCGCTTGTAATAATTGAAGAAATGATGTAGAGATAAACTCTCCCGCACGGTCAAATTGAAAAGCTTTGACCTTAGTGTTAAGTTGATTTTCAACGAAGGTGAGGAAAACAGTGACAATGGATAAGAACTAGTCGCGAGAGTGAAAAAGATAAAACCAAGAAAATTTAGAGTAATCATTCGTAAAACAAACATAGTATTTATTATTTTGGGACGATGTGACAGGAGTAGGCCCCCAAATATCAAAGTGAACTAGTTCTAGGGGAGCCTTGGACCTATTAGTTGTTGGTGGATGAGACTGTTTATGACTCTTGCTGGAAAGACAAGCTAAACAAACTTGAATAGGACTTAACGACTTGTTGAAGATTCTTGAAATAGTAGGAAATGCGGCATGACCAAGACGACGATGCCAATGGGTGAGTGACTCCACTTGAGAAACGAAGCAGGTTGGAGACATAGGTGACAATGATGAGAGTGCGTAGAGGCCTTGATTAATGTCCCCCCGGAGAAGGATCCTGCCTGTACGACGGCACTTCACAAAGAAACAGTTCGGTGAGAAAATAAAGTCACATGAATTTTCAATAGAGAATTGACGAATAGA